AACACGCAACCACAAACACGCAACCACAAACACGCAACCACAAACACAATCACAAACACACAACCACAAACACACAACCACAAACACAACCACAACACACACAACCACAACACACAACCACAACACACAATCACAACACAATCACAGCACACAACCACAACGTGCAACCGGAGGATCTGAGTTGTACTATTAGTTGGGCACAGGTCTCCTGATGAAAGCATTCGCTTCGGACAAACCAGTAAGAGTTGGCGCTGAAGGACTTGTGCTATGGGCTTAAACACACAACGAGGGTGATGTCCACGTGGCTGTTTTGAAATGTCATTATGGGGATCACTCGAAGTAAAGTAATTCGCCTACTTGCTGGCTGCTGCCACTTGTTTGCTGCTCCGTTTGTTGTTTGCTATCCTTTGGCGTTTACTATACTTTGCTGTCGCGTGAAAAGGGATGTTGTGGGGGAAGTACACAGTGCTCCACAGTACTCGGACAGTGCTCCGACAGTGCTCAGAACAGTACTCGGAAGTCAAAAACGTAGGCAGTAGCCGCGCAAAACGATGAACATTTAGAGTTCTAGGCTTTTTATTGACTCATTTGCCATGCCTGTGGCCATACCCACAGTATTTACACGTCTTTGGTGCGCGGGTACTGTCTGGAGCACTGTTGGAGCACTGTCCGGGCACTGTTGAGCACTGTGTCACCATGTAGACCCCGGCCGCATAGCTTTGCGCAGGAGTCAAAGCCGTGGTCGTTCCAGGTCATGATGGCGCTCTACTCTGTTGGCTGTCCCCCGCCTGTTGTGTCCTTCTTTGTCTCTTGTTGCTGACGTTGCAACTCTTCTTCTATAGTTTGTTGCTGTCGCTGTCTGCGTGGTGCAACCCTGTGTCACTGGTTTCACAAGTTTGTTCTACCTGTGTCGTTGGCTCCACAAGTCTTTTTTGTATATTGCGTTGGCCCTCCGCTGTCTGCTTGGTGCAACCCTGTGTTGGGTACAGCCTCGTTTCATTACTTTGCTCTACCCAGCTTGTTGCGACAGTCTCGTGTCATTACTACAGTCTCGTTTCATTACTTTGATCTACCCAGCTTGTTGTGACTGTCTCGTTTCATTACTACAGTCTCGTTTCATTACTTTGATCTTCCCAGCGTGTTGTGTTAGTCGTTTTCACCTACTTGCTGGCTGGTGCCACTTGTTTGCTGCTCCGTTTGTTGTTTGCTATCCTTTGGCGTTTACTATACTTTGCTGTCACGTGAAAGGGGATGTTGCGGGGGAAGTACACAGTGCTTAGAACAGTGCTCGGAAGTCAAAAACGTGTAAAATACCATCGATTCGGGCAGTAGCCGCGCAAAACGATAGAAATTTAGAGTTCTAGGCTTTTTATTGACTCATTTGCCTGTGGCCATACCCATAGTATTTACAACGTTTGTGTGCGCGGGTACTGTCTGGAGCAATGTTGGAACACTGTCCGGGCACTGTTGAGCACTGTGCTACCATGTAGACCCCGGCCGCATAGCTTTGCACAGGAGTCAAAGCCATGGTCGCTCCAGGTCATGATGGCGCTCTGCTCTGTTGGCTATCCCCCGCCCCTTGTGTCCTTCTTTGCCTCTTGTTGCTGACGTTGCAACTCTTCTTCTATTGTTTGTTGTTGTCGCTGTCTGCGTGGTGCAACCCTGTGTCGCTGGTTTCACAAGTTTGTTCTACCTGTGTCATTGGCTCCACAAGTCTTTTTTACATTTTTCGTTGGCCCTCCGCTGTCTGCTTTGCACAGGAGTCAAAGCCATGGTCGCTCCAGGCCATGGTGGCGCTCTACTCTGTTTGCTGTCCCCCGCCCCTTGTGTCCTTCTTTGCCTCTTGTTACTGATGTTGCGACTCTCCTTCTATAGTTTGTCGCTGTCGCTGTCTGCGTGGTGCAACCCTGTGTCACTGGTTTCACAAGTTTGTTCTACCTGTGCCGTTGGCTCCACAAGTCTTTTTTATATATTGCGTTGGCCGTCCGCTGTTTGCTTGGTGCAGCCCTGTGTCGGGTACTGTTGATGGACGAAGTCCTGCACCAGCTCACCACTTTACCCTGGCAGGGACGGATAGTAACCCCTGCGCCCCCTCATTCAATGTTGGCGCGACCCCGCTGAGGAGGTGGTGCAGGATTTTGGACCTTCAACTTGTTTTAATGTTCTCACTGTGGTGGCCCCAATGTTAACGAGGGAGAACGGGGGCAGCAAGAAAACTGTGCGCAAAGTGGTGCAGGATTTTGTCCATCAACAGTATTTCATGTATGTTCGCAGCCATGTCCACACCGTTTCAATCAACTTTGTTCTCGCGCGTTCTTGCGCATTAAGCCATACCATCAACCGCAGGAACATGCCACCTTTGTTTCTTTCTCTGTTGCATGTGAATACTTGATTTTATGCTTTAGAGTCTTTCATCATCATCAGCAGCAGCAGCATCAGCACCGGGACCAACAACAGCACCAGCAGCATGATTATCAGATACTACAGATACGGCTGTATAGATTGTTTTGTGTTGCGGATGTGTGTCGAGTCGAGCAGGTTGAACCTGTAAATTGCCAGCCGGAAGCCTTGAGCTTCAAAAAGCGCAGATTTGGAGGCCATCGCTAGTAGGTTGGAGCCCATCGCTTGTAGGAGGCCATAGCGATGGCCTCCACGACCTATTGGTGAAATTTTGCAGATTGTGATACAATCTTGGTGAAACGGGAGAGCTTCGAGGGTTTGGAGGTCGGCTGAGCAGGTCCTTTCGGTGAGTCCTTTGGGTTTGTCACACGATTTGCATGACACATTTTGGTGACAATGTAGCCGAGTGTCTTCAAGTGTTTTCTTACATTAACTATTTTTTCTTTGGAGCAAGAACCTACTAGTAGCTCCTGGCATCGCTACTAGTAGCAATGACGCTACTAGTAGCTCCTGGCCATACTACTAGTAACAAGAAACTACAAGAAACGAAGGGCTGCCTTTGGCACTTTCTTCCTTTCCTCACCACTTCTTGGGCTCAGCTGGGGCTACCTCTCATCCACGAAAGGCCGAAGGTTGTTTGTTGTTACATTGTGCTTCCGGGAAATAGGTTGGGCCATGGGACCACCTTGACCGTGGCAGTGGTGGCTCTCAAGCTTTGGCCAATTACGGAGCCCGTTTGCTGCTTTGGTCCATGACCAGGTGGCTTCACTTCTCCATTCTTGTTTTAGACACTTAGCCACTAGTAGCAAGGACGCTAGTTGGTTGGAGGCCATCGCTACTAAGGCCCCCAAGAAAAAGAAGAAGGTAATTGCAAAAGCCAAACCAGCAGATGACAGTGATGATAGTGAAGAGCCGGTACCTGCCTAAGAGTTATTTATCAACGCATTTGGCATCAGCTTCGGGCGCGGCTTGGGTGTGTTGGGGCTGTGGATTGTTTGGATTCCACAAAATACCTGCGCATTGGAGCCTGAACAGAATAGAACTTAATGTATAAAGTACGGCAGACAAAAGCAACATTGTCCATTCCTATCAGTTGAGGCCCCAAAGGCCAAAGCAAAGGCCAAGGCAAAGGCCAAAGCC